AGCTCTTGCTTTTAATGGAAAAATCAGACAGTCAAGTAACTGAGAGGAGCAGGTTAGACGAGTCCTTTCTCAAGCAAGTCTACAGGACTCACATTGCAGAGTTCGTTCCATGTCTCGGAGTCTGAATAAAAGTAATTAGGCTAACTTAGGCAGGGGTGAGGGGTGGTACATCCTTCCAGCGAGAAGAAATCAATGCCGTCCCTCGGGCTTTCCTACCTTAAAGGGGAAGAGCGTGTGTGAGTACTACATGTACCTCTTTTGACTTGCCAGTGGAATAGGAACCGGACTGATGCTCCCCAGAATGGAAAAGGCGCCAGAACCTTAAGGTTCTGTTTAGGGGAAAAAAAAAAAGAAAAAAAAGTGAAAACTTCCACAGGTCAAACCTACAACAGTGAAAACTGAAACAGTGTAAACTTACAACATACAAAACTGCGACAGTTTAAACTTACAAGTTACGACAGTAAAAAACTGCAACAGTTTAACCTTCCAAGTTCCAACCAACAGTGAGAACTGCAGCAGTGGAAACTCCAGCAGAGGAACAAGTTTAAACTTCCAACCAACAGTGAGACCTGCAGCAGTGGAAACTACAGCAGAGGAAAGTGCAACAGTGAAAACTGCACCAGAGGAAGCTTACAAAGTGAAAACTGCAACAGTTTAAACGTCCTCTGCATCTGTTTAAACTTACAACAGTGAAAACTGGAACAGTTTAAACGTCCAACAGCGAGAACTGTAGCAGAGAAAACTGCAGGTTTATTGCTAGCAAATCGGCAAGCAGGGGCAAGACAAGGGCGTCGTGGGGCTGAGGAAGAAAGCGGATGATGGAGGAACCATCACAGCAAGCGTGGGGACCACTCGGAGGGATACATAGCTTGCATAACATATATTGTCACAAATCTATGAACTATAAGAGCGCACTTTGTGAAACAGAGTTAACAACTTAACAAGCGATAGAAATACACAGGACAAACTTGAACAGCACACTGAGACGATCATGGGATGATGGGGAAGAAATCAGTCGCTTGGAGTACGTCTCAGGTGGCAGGCTGCTCCCCTCTATGAGGCTGTCTCTTATACACATCTAGATGTGTATAAGAGACAGGAAAACTGCACCAGAGGAAGCTTACAAAGTGAAAACTGCAACAGTTTAAACGTCCTCTGCATCTGTTTAAACTTACAACAGTGAAAACTGGAACAGTTTAAACGTCCAACAGCGAGAACTGTAGCAGAGAAAACTGCAGGTTTATTGCTAGCAAATCGGCAAGCAGGGGCAAGACAAGGGCGTCGTGGGGCTGAGGAAGAAAGCGGATGATGGAGGAACCATCACAGCAAGCGTGGGGACCACTCGGAGGGATACATAGCTTGCATAACCTATTTGGCTGTCTCTTATACACATCTAGATGTGTATAAGAGACAGTGCATATGCACACGCACATGCAAACAAATTCACATCATTTGTTGGTTTGTTTGGTCTCTGTAGTTTTCCCGTGCTCTCTTGTGTCCAAGTACAGCACCCTTCAGTTGTGCCAAATAGTCGGTGCCACGTTCGTAGAATTGTGTGCAGCACTATTATTGGGACTGCTGTGTTTGGGATGCCTGTCTCTGTGTTTCGTGGCCGTGACAGACTTTCAGCTTGTGGCTCTTTGGCTCTTTGGTTCTTGACGGTGACATGAACCTACAGTCTGGAGGGTTTTCCATTTGATGTGGGGAGGCGATAGTTGGCTTTGATCCTTGCTGTGCCCGTGGGTTTCTGTGTTGTTTGAGGTTGTCCTGCTTGCCTTCCTGCTGCCCCTTGATGCGTGCCTGCCCTGCCACCCATCCACCTACCTTCTCACTTGCCTCGCTATATGCTACCTACCGTCAACGCCCAAATATAACCCCCAGTCATTATCGCTGTATCCAGACTGAAAATTGCACCGGATAACAGGTATAATGACTAGGCTTTTCTTTTCTTTTTTCCAAATGACCAGGCGTTCTATTTGACTGAAGACGGTAATGCATACTGTGTTGTGCCCCTCACTGTGTTGTTTTGTGCGCGTGCAATAAAAATCGCAGTATCCCAGTGGGACTGTACACTTAACTGTGTTTGCTGTTTCCTTGGTTTGGGCCTTGCAAGACATGATCCCGAGAACTGGAATTTGTACGTTCGGTTTGTTAGCTTTGAGCCCTACTGGGCTTGATCCTTAGACCTGTAGCTAGTAGTCTCTATTTGGCAGTCTTAGACCCTTAGGCTTTGCTGTTTTGTCGTTTTCTGTAGTTGCTGAAGTCGACGCGGGACTTGATCCCATGACCTGTAGTGTGTTTGTCGTGATTGACTGTTTTTGAGCTTTATTGGGGTTGAACCTTGAACCTGTCGCAAGTAGTCTCCATTCCGTAGTCTTCCTGTCGCTAGTAGTCTCCATTCCGTAGTCTTAGGCCTTTCAGCCTTTTTGTTTTGTCCTTTTCTGCCCTTCTGGAAACTAGTAGGCCCGTAGGTCTTTCCTGTGTGTGTCCTAGCCTTGGGTCCCCTTAGTCTACGTTTCCATCTAGATGCATGTAGGTAGATCTTGACTGTTTGGCCGTAGATGTTTGCTGTTTGGACAGTCAGAAGATAGGTCTGTAGGTGGCTGCTGTGTTGTAGGTCTAGGGAGGTCGGATAGAAGTAGGCAGAGGCCGACGAGTTTGGGGTTCTTTTGGTTCTTTTCGTTGCTTTTCTTGTCACAGTCTCGGTGGAGGTCGCGTTGGTTCCCTGCTGCGTTATTGTGGGCATGTACGCAGGGCATCTTCTCCACATGCTGCTGGCGGCCGTAGCTGGGGCCGGCCAGCTCCATTGGTGACAGCGTTGGGCTCGGCACCCAAGTGCTGATGAGCGGCTCCTCGTATTTGTGTGCTTGTTGGGGTTTCGTCAGCTGCCACCGAAGCTGCACTTTCAGTGGTTCTTCTTCGACGTGGCAGATCTTCATCTTCATCGAGTTGCTGTTCTTCTTCATCATCCTGGGATCTGCGCTCCCCTGCTGAGTGGACACTTCATCTGCAGTGGGCTTCTTGAGTGGTGCAGAGAGGGGTGTTGGATTTAGGAGGGTGTGTGGTGATTGGCAGGCTTGATAGGTTGGGTGCTTGCAAGCACCATAGCTAGAGCTTGAGGAAGAGGGTGGAAGAAGAAGACTCCCGGATACTTCGATGAAACTTCGAATGTAATTGGTCTGTGGGTGTTGATAACGTGGTTGGGATCCTTGGGAATTCGTGCTGTTGATCGACTTGGGGAGGAACGGTAATTAGAATTGATTTTCATTTCAATTTTATTTTCGGTATTTGTGTGCTTCCACTGTGTATTCTTCTCATCCCGTGTGGTGTGGATTGCTCCCTCCAAAGGTCACTTGTCATTGCACGTGTATGGGAACGTGTGGATGCCATGTTGGATCTCGTATCAACCAGGCACATAACACGCGCCCTCCGGCCAGCCTGCTTGCCTTGCTCCTCCCTACGCTATAAGCACATAAGGTGTGTGAGTAGGCAAAAGGACATGCACCGATGGGGTATTTTTGTACCGATTCCTCAGGAGGCTGACACCTCGACAGTCTGCCCCATCTGGATATTGATGTTTTGAGTCAAGATCCCCTTGAGCCCCTGTTGTAAGTAGAGGGCCAGCAGACGTCGTCGCAAGCAGCAAGGCAAGGGTGAAGCAACAAGGCACTGTACTGCGAGCAACAGCTAGGCAGATAAGCTGGAGGGCAAGGCAGAGTCAGGTGGGCTGCCAACCGATAAGGCTCGCAGCAGGGAGGCATTATGAGCAGCAGGCAACAAGGCAGCAAAGTAACAAGCCCTGACTTTTCGTCAAATTTGAAATATGTTGCTCGCGTGACGAAATTGAACAAGGATTTTTTTGCCTCTTTTTCGTGTGTTCTTTTCCAAATATGGTGCCGATAACTTTGAAAGTGTTAATGCATACCGCGTTCACTCAAGGAACCCAAGCGTCTGGAAGGGCCAAAATTGACAACCAACAAAAATCCTTGTTCAATTTCGTCGCTCTGACTCACTTGAGCAAAATATCTCAAATTTAACGAAAACGTCGAAAAGTCAGATCAAGGCAGAAAATGCGCAATGCAGGCAAAAGCCGCAAAAGGCACACGGGCAGCGGGGAAAAAGGCAGCGAGGCAGCAAGGGACGAAGCAGAGATGCACAGAAATCAGCGAAGCAATGAGGCAGTGAGGTAACAAAGCACTGGAAGCAGCGAAGCACAAGTTTAGGGAAACAGCAAGGCGAGCGGTAGCCCAGCATTATGAGCAGTAGGCAGCAAGGCAAGAGGAAAGCAGGGGAGCAAGGCAGACAGGCAGAGAGGCACACGGCAGCCAGGCAGAAAGGCGAAGGGCAGCCAATCTATAAAACCGACAGGCAACCAACCTGGAGAGACAGAATGGGAAGCCAAGCCGCACTCGTACACCAAGAACCCAACCAGAACGCCACCTACTCACACCACCTACTCGCACCACCTACTCACACCACAAGTAGAACTCAACAGACTCTAGGTTCACCCACCCTCTGATCCAGGGAGGCGCTCACACAATCGCTAGCAGAAAACACAGAGACACAGACATCCCAACACAAAGCAACCCCCCCCTTTGGTAGTAGTGTTGCGGGCACTCCAAACAAACAGGCACTGACTATTTGGCACATTCTGAGGGTGCTCACTTAGTCAGTGCTGGCAAAAGTACCCAACACAAAGCACCCCCCCCTAATGGTGTTCGAGAAAACACAGAGACACAGACATCCCAGCACAAAGCACCTTAAAAATGTGCCAGAAGTGGATACCAAAGAACCCATGAAGCGGATACCAAGAAAAAGTACTTAGACGAAAAGACGAGGAGGCCGGTGGAAAAGGAACCGGACTGACGCTCCCCGGAATAGAAGGAGCTGGATTTTTTTATTTTTACTTTTTTAAGGAGTTATGTATAGAAATCTGATAATGTGTCAGTGTGTCTTTGTGCGTCCGTATGTCTGTGGTGACTTCATTTTTTTTAACTCACCTTGAGGGTGTAGTCGCATCCATAAGTGTAATGAATGATGAACGCATCGCCAATTCTGGTATCGTAAGGTGGCTGGAATGACAGAAGCAAAAGGACAATTCTCAGTTAAGTGCACTGTTCCTTTTTTTCCCTTTTTTTTTCACATGCACATTGCACTGTTCATTCCTTGGGAAATGTAATACTTAAAAAAAAAAAAAAAAAAAAAAAAAAAAAAAAAAAAAATTGCTGGCAACTTGACAATGATTCGCTTTTCTTTTTCTAGGTCTTGCCCGTCATGCGACCGCACCTCCCCTCCTTTCATCGATTCTCCCTGCGCACCCCCACTTCCTCAGTCCTACCTCAGTGTCAACCACTCAGGATCATCACCCCTCTACCATTTCTTGGTAGGATGACCTGACCGGACAGTGATTGCACCCACCATGGTTAAGTTGGATACCCCATTCAGCCCTCATTGAAGCATATGGTCGAACGAGTCCTGTCATACGGGGGCTTCAGGCGCTAGGCAGAAGAATTCTCTTGAAAAGCCCCGGGGGTTACACCCTAGATATCCCCTGAAATCCATTGTGCAGGTCCCTCTGCACATCTGAGCCCTCTCCCTGCACTCCCACAGGCAGTGTCGAGTGGCCGAGGCCAAGGTCTGACCCCTGCCATCCCCTGAGCTACCTGGGTAACACATCCCCTGTGTGGCTGTTGATCACATCATCATTGTTAATGTTATTATCGTTTTTGTTGTTGTTGTTCATTCCGTCATCGATGCTTAGTTGTTGCTCTCTTTTATGAAGTTTTATCTCTATATGTCGTCAAACAGAGCTTCCCGGTAAACCGTAGGCAGAGAGGGAGAAGAGGACAACAAACGCATATATATATATATATATATATATATCGTCAAATAGAACTGCCCGGTAAACCGTAGGCAGAGAGGGAGAAGAGGACAACAAACGAGGGGCTGTGACAAACTGTTTCGTCGGAGTTTCACCGACTCATATATATATATATATATCTGACGAAACAGTTTGTCACAGCCCCTCGTTTGTTGTCCTCTTCTCCCTCTCTGCCTACGGTTTACCGGGCAGTTCTATTTGACGATATATATATCGTCAAATAGAACTGCCCGGTAAACTGTAGGCAGAGAGGGAGAAGAGGACAACAAACGAGGGGCTGTGACAAACTGTTTCGTCGGAGTTTCACCGACTCATCAAGAGGCGATATATATATATACGATATATATATCGTCAAATAGAACTGCCCGGTAAACTGTAGGCAGAGAGGGAGAAGAGGACAACAAACGAGGGGCTGTGACAAACTGTTTCGTCGGAGTTTCACCGACTCATCAAGAGGCGATATATATATATATATATATATATATCGTCAAATATATATATATATATATATATATATACTGTGAATCAGAGAGCGAAGGCGAAAAAAAGGAAAACAAGGAAAGAAAAAGAAGTAAGGAAGGAGAGCCCCACCTGTTCATCACCTCGGGGCAGTCGTTGATGCTTAATCACAACCGGGGTTAAGGTGGATTATCACTTACAGTGTTATCAGTTAGAAATTCTGCAGACTGTTGAGGGTTCAGCCTCCTGATGAGTGAAGCTCCGGCGAAACAGTTTGTCACAGCCCTTCGTTTGTTGTCCTCTTCTCCCTCTCTGCCTACGGTTTACCGGGAGCTCTGTTTGATGATATATATACATATATTATGATATGTCTAGCGTTCAGCCTCCTGACGAGTTGGTGAAACTGTGACGAAACAGTTTGTCACAGCCCCTCGTTTGTTTGCCTCTTCTCCCTCCCTCTCCGCCATACGGTTTACCGGGCAGTTCTGTTTGACTGCAATGAACCTCTTATATTGACACTACAAGCACATTTAAACGGTTTTCACCTTCGCAGTAGCAGATGCAGATCCCAGGGCTCGACCCCTAGCCCTGTACTCGCACATGTACAGTATCAAGTCGACCCTGTGTGTTTGAACCCGCAACCTGTGTCTTGGTAGTTGACTGCTGTCTGTCGTAGGTCTAAGTAGTAGTCGGGTTTTGATCCGTAGGTCTGTTGAGTAGGGGTCACAGCTGTGTGGGGGTCATAGTTGTTGCAATTCTGAAAGGCGAAGGTCGTAGCTGCTACAGTTCCAAAAGGCCAAGTCCACAGACTTCCGGAAGGCCCGGAAGTGGCCTTTCGAAGCATTGGTCACGTTAGAACAGAGGCAAGTGGGCAAATGGGTAGTCCAACTTTGCTTAGTCAGCGGTACCCAGTCCCAGTCTCACTTTGTCCAGTCCGCAAGTACCATGTGGGACTGTGTGCACCATGGGCCCGGTGGAAAGGGGCAGACCAGCAACCAACAGACGTATAAAATCAAGAGGCAGCGTCCAGCTATCCATTCATTCTGCGTGAGCCATGCGGAAGTGCTGCCCGAGCGTCTTGTGCAAGGTGGTTTGCAGATGCCCGAAGTCGAAGTGGGCTGCGAGGAAGATAGAGCGGCCATCACTGCTTGTAGTTCGTGGTAGATGGCGGCCATAGCTGCCATAGTTAGCGATAGTTAGTAGCGAGGGTGTGTGTGTGTGTGTGATACAGAGTGAGCGTGCGTGGGACATCCGGGGAGATCCGGAGTCGAGTGTGTGTGAACAGTCGCTGTGGATACAGATTTGGAAGAGCGATGTGTAGGCGCTCAGGCGCCATAGACAATTTGAAGCGAGTTTGTATCTGAACTGTGTTCTCGGCCGTAATATCTCTGAGCTTTGTGTGGGCGCCTGGCGCCAGTGTGGATTGCCCCCTTTTGCATGCATGCGAAATAAGGAAGAAGACAGGTCTGATTGCAATATGCACCATGAGAGTTCACACAAAATCCACACCGAAGTCCACAGATGGAGAGAGCAGATTAGCGCAGCTTATAAACTTCAATGAATGATCATATCATACAAATTTAGAGTTAGAGTCTCGCAGCGCTCATTCAGCGGAGTAGCAAACAGCTTCCAAATCAGGTATGTAACCCAGTTCAGCTCTCATGCAACTCTCTCTCTCTCTCTCTCTCTCTCTCTCTCTCTCTCTCTCTCTCTCTCTCTCTCTCTCTCTCTCTCTCTCTCTCTCTCTCTCTCTC